TACCCACCTTGCTCTTCTTGAACAGGACATAAATAATCAAACTACATAATAATAATAATAATAATAATAATAATAATAATAATAATAATAATAATAATAATAATAATAATAATAATAATAATAATAATAATAATAATAACAATAGGAAGGGACTATTATTGTACTTACATGACTGTGATCATGATTGATGCTATCAGTATAATGAGAGCAATGGCTAAACCAACAGAAGCACTGGTAGAAGATACACTTCCTGACAGCAGATCGGTTGGAGGTGACGTGGTATTCATTGCACATTTCACACCAGCAACATTAACATTTGGAAATATAGCCCTTCCATCATCCATTGATAATGGATCATTGGTACAATCAACAATACTGGACTCAGTCCCAGTGCAGGCTACGTTATTGTAAATGATTGTTTTATTGGGTTTTCCATAGTATGAACCAAGCACAGCTTCACCTCCTATAAGAAGGATTGTATATTAGTTGTTATTTATTTTATTGAGCTACTCACCATTGGTATAATAAAGTTGCTTGCAGATAACATCAGCATCTTGCTTGCCCCAGTCATTGTCGGTAATGAGACCCCAGGTATTGTCATAGCATACAAGAACTGTCCCTTCACTTGTTAAGTTTCTGTCATTAACCAACTGAACATCTCCAGTTGAACACCCTTAAGAATAAAAATAAATATAAATAATAATAATAATAATAATAAATAAAAATAATAATAACAATAACTATTCATTTGCTTACTGTCTTGACACCTCACGCCCACTACAGCACTACGTGAGCATTCAAATGATCCAAACTCCTTTGGATTACAGTCGACAATACTCCTCTCATATCCATTGCATTGAAGGTCAGACAGAACAATAGCAACATCTCCATCACCAAAATAAGAATTGTTATACACAATCGGCTCTGAAAATAGTATCCAATGATTAAGTACATCAATATGTATCAGAAAATGTAATAAAAATTGGGGGTGATTTTGGAGCCATTTTTTGGAAAAAACCATGGGCTATAGTACAGGGATTTTTTCAGATTTTAGCCCATTTCTTCAAATGGCCGTAACTTGAAAAATTGAAGTCAAATTTAGCTCAAACTTTTTACACAGCATAAGTATCAGTATATCAATATGTATGTGAGTCTATTTCTTACCTGATGGTCCCACTCCAACTTCTTTACAAGCTATATGAGCATCAGTTGTATCAAATCCAGTGGCACAGACCGACCCCCAGATTCCTTTATGACAAACCTCAACTCTTCCTTCAGTATCAAATGATCCTCCAACTAGCCTTGTCTCACCCTCAGCACAATTAGTTTCCTCTGTTTGTGTGAATATTTAATAATAATAATAATAATAATAATAGTAAGAATTTTATGCTTACCATAACATCTAAGTCCTAGTGCCTGTGGACAAGTTGAAGGACAAGAGTCAAGTTGACACTCAAGGAATTGTGATACACCCTGAGAGCAATTGAAATGAGTAAAGAGACTAGTAGTAGCGCCACTACCAAACCTTCCATCAGTAAAGACAACAGATACTATAAT